TGTTTGCTGTTTGCACTCTCTATTCCTGTCACTCTCATACTCCGGTGGGACGACTGTTCGACACGACCGGTGAGAGTTAAGACGCAGGACCGACAGCTTTACGTGCTCTCCGAGGCACGGGGGTGGAACACCACCAACTTCCCATCTTCGGGCTGTTACTGAGGCTTACTATACAGAAAGACTCAATAACTAGACTTGGCCCGACCCGGGACCGAACCAGGACCTCCGAGTGTACAGCCGTACATGCTAGCCACTACACCACCGAGGCAATAAGTACATAAGCGATAACCAAATCATGAAAACATTTGATTGTGTAACACGAAAGGTATGCAACAAGATTGAAGCACTATTGTTGTATAAAATGTTTAATAGATCACTGGTGTCACGTGAACCTCGAGGCGATCGATGCTCATAAGTTACAATTATATTAGGCGCCATAAGCTTCGACCGTGTTATTTGTTTGCGCAATAGAGATGTGAAACATTACTAATTTGAGTTATGATTGGCATCGTCATATCGTAGATATGTATTTAGTAAGCACAATGAATGCCGTTAATTTATAGTTTAGCATTGCCCGCGGCTCCGCCCGCGTTCAAATAACCAAAAAACCTAATTCTTAGGTTTTTCATATTAGTATACTCTACATTGCAGTTTTGTATTTTTTCTTAAAAATGGGACAATTTCCTGCGGTAAAAAGTATCTTATATGTTGACCCGGATAACCAGCTATCACCATACCAAATTTCATCAAAATCCCTTACCCCCCTTTAAAAAAACAGACAAAAATTCTAAAAACTATATATTCGGCATCTGTATCGATAATAATTAATAATGTTTATTTCAATAAGGTTTCGCAAAAAAATATTTAATACATACAGATTCGGCTTAGTTACAATTTTATTATATGTATAGAATTGAACTTCTTAGTCATAAAAAAGTGATCCTGATATAATTAACCATATCAGATTCTTGTTATAAAAATATTCATAATTAATTAGGTATCAATTGATAAACCAATTGATTGCATACTATTAACAACGCCTCTTCCATTCAAAGCGTTAACAAACTAAACAATAAACATACAATGCAATGGGCATTTCAATCGACTACAGTATGAATATCAATATAATTATTGATAGGCCGTTGACTGTAGCATATGAATACGAAATCCTTCAGCCAAGAGCAATCAGTGCTCACCTTTGGAAGAGAAATTCCCTCTTTGTTGACAATGCCTTCTTATGTAATTTGTACCATTGTACTCGTATGTATGTATGTAAATGGCTCAGCTGTAGTTAGTCGCAATTTAACAAAAACACCTACAATGCCTTTAGTGTTATTTATCTATACTAATATTATAAAGAGGTAAAGCTTGTGAGTTTGTGACGTTGTAGGGGGTAATCTCTGGATCTACTGTACCGATATAGATGAAATTTGGTAAGAAGGTAGTTTGAGACCCTGGAAAGCACATAGGATACTTTTTATCCCGGAAATCATCCCTTAAGGGGGTGAAAGTTTGTATTGGGAGGCAAGCTAGAGACTTTATATAATATTTCAGATAGAAATCAAATCATTAAAAAGTAAATAAAAAAACAAGGAAATATTATCAATTTTTTTACAATAATTAATTATAATACTTTTTTTTAAAATTAGGTATACTGTTAAAATAATACATATTATATACAATTATAATTAACAGTTTTCATTAAGCTTTTTATACATATGTACCTATGTAATAAGTAATAACGATTGCGCACATAAAAATTGCCTACCTACAAGTATTTAATATTGTGAAAGTATGAACAACGCAGCAATTTTCTGCGAACCTAATTGCAGATAAAGATTATAAATCATAGCTTGGCGGTCATTGTTGTTGATTCAATGGGTCACTTGTTTTAGCATGCTTCGAGCAATATCTTCTTTTAGTTATGTGTTGAGAATGATCGCATATACTTGGTTATGTTGATAAATTCTATATATAATACTAGCGACTCACCCTCGCTCCGGTTCTCGCTCGGGTTCGTCCCTGGCTTGCTTCCCAATACAAACTTTCATCCCCATTTTCAAGCCCTTAAAGGATGATTTCCGGGATAAAAAGTATTCTATGTCTTTTCAAGGGTCTCAAACTATCTTCTTACCAAACATCTAAATCGGTTCAGTAGATCCAGGGATTACCCCCTACAACGTCACAAACTCAGAACCTCACAAACTTTACCTCTTTATAATATTAGTATAGAGATTAATGTATTAATTAGTCGTAATGAAATTATTTAAAACTTAAATATAGTCTAGAGAGATGGTTCTTACTTAATATTTTAGTGTATTATCTAAAGTACATTAATAAAATTGTAGAGGTTGAATGTATATACATAGAATAAATGCTAAATGTGTAATCATGTTGGAAAATGATTCGCATATGAAAATATCAGAGGTGCGAGACCCGGGATTTGAACCCGCTTCACTCGGTTTCCCTAGCGAGCGCGTCACCACTGGGCTAGCACTGCCTTGGTTAAGTATATCGATATTTAATACTATAAAGACTACAATAATTTAGAAATTTAAACTGAAGTAGTAGTAATCTTATAAGCTATCTTACGTCATGGTATCGTAGGTGCGTAAGCGTTCATTATTTATTGAATTTGACATGTATCAAGCAACCATTCGTCAAGTTACGAACAGTGAAAGCGTATGGTTGTTCCGTGATCGATTGTGTTTTGTGAATCTTTATTACCTAAACCCTACAAATGCATGTTTATTCAACGTTTATTTGACTATTTATTTAAAGGTCGTAAATAAATACTTTTCTATTTTTTCATAAATTAATTCAATGTCAATGTTTGCTTGGCTGGTAAGTAGGTACATTGATAAAAGGAACCTATGTGTAAAAATACAAGATATTATACTAGCAGGATATACAATAACACATTTCCATTACGAATTTCACTCAAATTTCTATCACAAACTTTCACATTTATATTTTTTACGTAATTATTTTACATAAAAATGGACTACTTTTTTATAATCAAAATAAAAATAAAAATAAAATGTCAGCCTTAGGTCCGCTACGATGCTATACTATAAAAAGCACAAATTATCACAACAATTAAATCGATTCGCAATCTAAAATAAAGTTACCTAAGTAAAACCAGAATTTCTCATACAAAACAATACGTGTAGCCGTTATGGGAGTTTGACTATCAGAGAAGAATAATATATCATTTTAGAGATTCCTAATATTCGTGAGAATTTAAAGCACAATTACTTGTACCAAGTAAGATACAGTTGACTTTTATTTAAATATCACAAATATAAAATATCTTGCCAATTTATATACAGAATTAAAGGGGAACACAATAAGTTTTTTTTAAATATCAAAGGATTTCCTATTGCTTATTTTACATATTATATCAATAAATATAAAACTTCTCAAAAAAAACATGTGCCATGTACTTTTTTCTTCGTGTTTCAAACCGTGTATTAACGTTCTATATAAATATACTAGCATTGCCCGCGGCTTCGCCCGCGTTCAGATGACCAAAAACCGAATTCTTAGGTTTTACATAGTAGTATACTCTTACATTGCAGTTTTTGTATTTTTTCTCAAAAATGAGATATTTTGCCGCGGTAAAAAGTATCCTATATGTTGACCCGGATAACCAGCTATCACCATACCAAATGTCATCAAAATCCCTGCAGTGATTTTTCTGTGATGCGGTAACAGACAGACAGACAGACAGACAAAAATTCTAAAAACTATAGATTTGGCCTCAGTATCGATAATAATGTTTATTTCAATAAGTTTTTCCAAAAAATATGTAATGTACAGGTTCGGCTTAGTTACAATTTTATAATATGTATGGATTTAGTTCTACATAAATTCATAATATACCTCCACTTTATACGTTCTAAGCCAGTCAAAACTCTTTTTAAAAATGTTTAACCACAAAGTATAAAAAATTCGTGCCATCACTGAGGAAGATAACAATTACGCAACAGATGAGAAGAAACACGCCATTGTTCTACATTACACGAAACCCTTTATTGGAATCAATTGCCTTTAGAAACATAAATATCATGGAAATTATGTAATTAATTTTAATAGAAAAGGTAATTAATTATTTCAACTTTAGATATGAAAAATGTATATTGGATTAGGTATGTATATCTAACATTGAAATGGGGTGGCAAATTCTAAAACAAAATTAGAGAATAGCGCTTCTAAAATATTTACAGCAAAAAATATTTTATTTTAAAACTATTGAGAAAAGGTACATGAGTATTTTACTGATACACTGAATACTATGAAACTTAGTCATGCCGACAATAAAATTATACAGTAGATGGGTTTTTAATTTTGACGTAAATTAATAATTAAATACACATATATGTACTAGCGGAACCCACGGCTTCGCTCGCTTCTACTTCTACTGTTTTCACTAAAACTACAGCAAAACTCTAAAAAATAGGTTTCGTACAAACTTTCACCTCCCATTTTACCCCTTATGAGATGCATTTCGAAAAATGCTAAAACTCGTATTTATTTAATTGTATTGAAGAGCATGAATACCAAGTTTCAAGTAATTCTGTTCATAAATAATTTTTGGGCTGTATTATAACGTGTTTTCCTGTGGGAATGAGAATATCTCCCGCGATAAAAAGTAGCCTATGTCACTCTCCAGCCCTCCAACTATTTTCACTCAAAAAATCATGTCAATCCGTCACTCCGTTTCGACGTGAAAGAAAGATAAACAAACAAACACACTTTCACATTTATAATATTAATATGGATAAATAATAAATATGGATGTTAAAACTGTTGCCTCTCAGCCTGATTGTTTATTATAGTATATGTCATTCACTCCGACCAGACAATTCATGAATTTGAGAATTAAATTAACTTATTTAGTTATTTTATTATTAGTAAGAACGTTCATTAGATTTAGTAGATTTAGTAAATTTTTTAAAGTAGTAACAAGTAAATAATTAAAATCTTTTTCTTTCCAGGTGCAGATCATTACTTTCTCCACTCTACTTTATTTTGGAGTGGCGCAAGATACTACTACTAACGATGACTTAAATCATAAAACAAATACTATAGAAGCAGGGCCGTCGGTTCGCTTAGATCCTTACATACGGAAAGCCTTACTAAAAGCACTTAGTGATCTTGAAGAGGACGATAGTTTTACAGATACTGATAGTACTGACAGTATTTTAAAGTCTAATACCGAAACTGCAAACACTAATAACGAATTTACAGTTGCACAAGCTAATAAAGAAAATATACAGATTCATTCTTTCGTTGTGAATGGTCAAGCTGCATTTGATAATTCATCTGAAACTACTCCAATGTTAATAGACAACAAAATATCTATCTTAAGTACTACAGTCGGAAATGTTGAAAATTATGTGACTGCTAGCCTTCCAACACAAGCTCCATTTCAGGAAATTTTTCAGACAAAAGAAACTGGCGTTAATTTACAACAAACTAGAAGCATACCAAGTTCAGCTAAATCGAGCACTGGTAATTTAGTAAGCAGTAGTAGTAAACTTACAACATCAAAAAATCGCGGAATTTCTACTACTACGACATCAACAACCACGACTACGACTACTCCAAAACCAACACATAACGAAGACGGTGAAAATATTGAAGAAGTAAATAAAAAAGATGTACAAGTATTTCAAGCACCATTAGTAGCTGCTTTTACAGTGCATCAAGATGCACAAGGTGTGCCAAAAAAAGTTATACCTATATATCAACAATCAAATAATCAGGGTATTTTAAAACCTTCACCAACGCTGAGCACGCCAACGAACATTATTGCTCCGAGCTTTTTAACTCCAGCAATACCAACGGCTAATATACAAAGAATACCGTCAACTGAATTTATTAATCAACAATTAACTCTGCAAAAGCAATTAGAAGAAAAACAATTAATATTGGAACACCAACTAAGATTACTTCAAATACAACAAAGACAACAAGAAGAGTTGCTTAGAAATCAGCAGCTTCTATTGCAACAAAAGGAGGCTCAAAGATTACAACAAGCGTTATTTGAACAAGAACAATTTAAAAGACAAAAAAATATTGGAGAGCAACAACAACTTCCAAGCAATCAAATATCTAATACGTTTAATGTACAAAATAATTCCCCACATATTTTAGGTCAAAATAACGTAAGACCACAAAACTCCCAAGTTTCAATTCAACCAAGTATCACCTTAGATCAGGCAAATACATTAGCACCGCAACAACAACTTCCCAATAGAGAAGCTGTTGACTTTCTAATACATTTAAGGGAACAACAGCAGACTCAGTTTCCTTTACAAGAAAATCATCTCCCTCAGGGCATAACCAACTTCTTACAACCTAACCCAGTTCAAAACTTTAACCAAGTCTCAAATTTTCAACTTACAAATCAATTAAGACCTGATGATCAACAAGGGCAAAAACAAGGAAATCGTGTATTCCGTCATGAAAGTAGTGTTGGAAATTTTGGTATAAACCAAAATTATAATAGATTAAATACTTTTGAATCACCATTTTCCAACAGATTTTTAACAAATCGATTTAACCAATTCAGTCGCGATTCCGAGTTGAAGCAGTTATTGGCCCAATCTAATATAAACACAAGAGCTCATGAAGATCTGAATATTGTATCTAAAGTATTATCCTTGAACCATGGAATTCCCCTTAATAATGTTGCAAACAGACTTGCATTTGATAATCGCAGACCTGTGAGAACTTTTGCCTAAATTGTTGTAAGACTAAGTCAGATATTTGTTCATCAGATCCATTGTCGATATCTTTTTCGAATGAAATTAGATATTCGTAGGAAAGTCGTATGTTGTATTTCTCGTAAAAAAAATTGAAATGCAATAAAATCAAAAACGAGAAAATTTGAGGCCTATTAACCATACTAAGGATTCGGCTACGAATAATTATTTTCATTAGAATAGAGGCATGACAAATTAGTGTAGTATAAGAATATTATGTTATACGATTATTTATTTTAAAAATAATTATTTTGCCATAAGTAGCTAAATAACTTACTGATAAATGATATAACTCACTTAATGTAATACTGCTAGATATAATATAAATGGTCGTCTTAAAAAAATAGTCATTTTACTCTGGTACTTAATATGCAATAGTAGTACAAAATACCTATATTGTTAAAAATCGATAAGAATATTATATTATAATATTTGCAGTTCTTTGCTGTTATAAATTATAATTTCACCTTACAAAATCTGAAGATCTTTAGATCTTCAGATTTTGTCTTTAGACATTTAATTAAACAGCCGTAAGTATAATTTGTTTATTTACTAAAATTGTATTCTAATTATATATTGAGAATACGTTTATATAATAGGCACGCTGACTATAATTTTTTTAACTGTCCGTAAATTGCTATTGCAAAAAATATTGTATTAGGCTTATTTTTAGGCATTTTACACAAGTAAAAAAAATATGTATTCAAAACCCGAACATTGTAATATTTTTCATTACCCTAATTCTAATAGCCATTGTTGCCAGGAAAAAAATATTATAATGAAATGCCTGAATTTGAAACTTTAATTTTATGTTTAAATATTATTTTAAGTATGAATTGAAAGTTGTGTAAAATATGATTAGACCATAAGTAGGTATATTATCGTATTACACATTATGTACATAAGACGTAATGTTTGTAAATATACAGTTTAAAATATAATATGATTTTGTTTCATTCAATGACATCCTTATATTATGTTTTCCTATATATTTCAAGATTTATTCAAATAACTAGCGGCTATTTCATATTTGTTATTTTGATGTATGAACTATATTATTGTAAAGTTTCATTAAAATCCAATAAGTACTTTTTGTGTACTAAGCTGGTTGTTGTGTTTCATTTAAATCGGTCTAACAGTTTCGGAGATTAGCTCGTACAAACAGACAAACAGACAGTCAGACAACAAGAAAAATTTGTGAGTTTGGGTGTTTGTTACTTTTTCACGCCAGAACGGCTTAACGGATCTGGATGAAATTTGGCATTGATATAGATTATAGTCTGGAATAACACATAGGCTACTTTTTATTCCGGAAAAATATACGGTTCCCGTGGGATAGGTTTGTTTTCCTAGAGGCGAAACCGAGCGAATCGAGGGTGAGCCGCTAGTATTAATATAAATCTTAAGTTCCAATGCCAATGTATTCAATAGATGGAATATGATTATACCATAAAATTAAAAACAATACAATGAAAAAAAAATTACAGTAGTCTTAATGATAATTAAAATATTATTAGAGGGAATGCTCATAAATATCCTGAGTAGGTTCTTTCTGATGAGTTATTCATTTTTTTTTACTTATGTATCGATTGGTTTTGAACTACGAATATATAATAAGTTATTTATTCGTAGGTTTTGAATAATGAATTTACTTCGTCCTTTCCTTTGAAATAGAACACGTTATATTCACTTTTATGCGTTGCACACTCGGGTGTTTGGAAAATTAAAGTTCAAAATAGACGTACTCGTACCTACAGCCTACTATATAAACTTGCTTATACATTTATTCATAACTGTAATATTTTCATATTTTCAGAGCCCTGCTAACACTTTAATAGGATTAAATATCAGAGCTGAACTCAAAAACAAAGTTATTTTATTATCTTAAATATCTATATTATATAATATACTTGTATTTCAAAAGCGATGAACATCCCACGAAAACTAAAAGTTACTTCTAATAATATATTTTGTTTAGTAAAATATTTATAAATGTTCTCATTTTTAGTTCAAGTTTTAAAATATTATACGCAAAACAAATATACGCACAAGTGTCATTGTATATAGTGCCTAGTATATACCAATGTACTCTGTGATAGTGCCAGATTCAACGTTAGCGCCGCCCCTGGGCTATGTAAGAAATGCCACCCTATTATCGCAATTTTGCATAAAATGGATAAATTGTTTCGATGAAGTTCACTTTTTTTAATTTTTGACAAATGCGAAAAATAGTTTTTTTTATTATCCGTCCTGGCGCAAACCCCGAGTGCCCTTAGTGTAAACCCAGCTCTGTAAGTTTATGTTATCACTATAACAGTTTAGCCGAAGTTTCTGTAGCCAAAATCATATGTCTACAAAAAAATATCAATGAACCATTTCGTTAAAATGAATCACAACTTATTACATTTTCCACATCAAAATATAGTAAAATGTAAATTTATAATAAATAAGTTAAGACTAATAAGTTAAAGACATAGAATAGTCCCTGTTTTCCAATTAGAGTACTAAAGCGCATTATGCGGCATAATGCTAACTTCGGATGTTCCAACTTCCAACTACCGCAACGCTCCGCTCAATCGAGCATTTTGAAAAGTACTGCTTTGGCGCGGTGCGCGCAAGGATACCAAATTACCTACTCAATAACAGAAAATATGAGAAGTGTTTTTTCTTCAAGATGGCATTCATTATAATTTTATTTACATTATCATTAGAAATATTTGCTTATATTTTATTATATTAATTAGTTATATATTATTATATATCTATACTAATAGAGGTAAAGTTTGTGAGTTTGTGACGTTGTAGAGGGTAATCTCTGGATATACTGAACCGATTTAGATGAAATTTGGTACGAAAATAATTTGAGACGCTAGGAAGGACATAGGATAGTTTTTATCCCAGAAATCATCCCTTAAGGGGGTGTAATGGGGATGAAAGTTTGTATTGGGAAGCAAGCTAGGGACGAACCCGAGAGACGCGAGGGTGAGTTGCTAGTTAATTATAATTTATAATTACGGCGATATGTATTATTATATATTATATACATATTAGTTAAGTTTTATTTTTTCTTTCAACGCTGAACCTAGTGCCCTCTGCTGGTGCACTTGAAAACTAATTCACGTTCCAATTAAGCATTAGCACACTTCGGCATTGTGCGCCAAAGTACGGCATTATGCTCTGTAATTGGAAAACAAAGAATAAGTAGATTTTATTAGTTGGCACTTGGCAACCCTTTAATATACAACGAATAAGACGCTTCTCTATCACAAGTTAAATGTCAATGTCAGTTATCGCCCGAGTCCCGAAGTCCGATTACCGAAGCCCAAAAGTTGAGTGTTGTTGTCGCACTGATTAGTGATTTGATTGTAGAATGATTATATTTTTAAAATCAATATTTGGATTATTGTACAGGTAGAAATAATGGTAATACTCGATACTATGGAAAGTATTGGTAATTTAGAAGAACAAGCTTTGAAAAGGAAAGAAAGGCTTAAAAATCTGAAACGAAAAGCACCAAACAGTGATGACACTGTAGAAAGCACATCGAAAGCTGAGCCTGTGGTACTTCCAAAGTATGATTTCTTAACTTTAACAATTCATTAAAATTATTGTAAATCAGATAACATATTTTTGTATACTTTTTATATTTCAGACCTAAGTTTAGAAGCTACAAACCTCAAGATGAGTCCTTACAGAAGGAAAAGTTAGAAGACGCAGAACCATCGTTAGTTGAAGAAGAAGTTAAAGATTTAGTTGAAGCTGGTAAGGAGAAGGTATATTACAAAATTATATTTTATTTAATTGTGTACAAATATATCATTATCATTAATATCATAATAATGAAACAAAGTCCTATAAAATTGAGATTAGTAATTAAATAAGTTATCACAATAATTTCTTTATTTTTAAGCACAATACTTTTTGGGACTAGGGAGATGATTATATTGTTGATAATAAAGTAGGTCAGTAAACTATGAATGTGAGTAAATCTCGATTAAGTCTGATGTAGCCGTGCATCATTTTTTAAAATGAAAAATACAATTCATCAGAAATTAATTTTAGATTATTTGTTATTATTGTTTAGACCCTATTTTTCATAAGAAACTTGTAATTTCAGTTCAATCACGGGTTTAAAATAAAAAAGTTATTATTTTAATAATATAATGTTTCAGGTAGTTTTACAAGACTTAGATATATCCAGTTTAGCCCCACGAAAACCTGATTGGGATTTAAAAAGAGATGTTGCTAAAAAGTTAGAAAAGTTAGAGAGGAGAACTCAAAAAGCAATCGCAGAATTAATTTGGGAACGATTAAAAGAAGGGAATGAAGAAAATTTAAGTGCTATGGTGTCTTTAAATGAAAATAGACCTGCAGATGAAGATTGACTATACATTTTTGTACAATTTTTAAGGTAATTTCAAAGACTTAGTATTTTTAAATAAAACTATTCTGATATATTTAGTTTTTTTCTTTATTATTATGCCATTTAAATCTCTTAATGCTTAGTGAAAAATGTTTTTATTTCAAGTTCTCGGGAAGTGCTATCTATTGATAAATTCAGAACTAATGTTATGATACAGGATTACGTTGCTTGGATAAAAATCCTATGTGCTATATGTGATATAATGGATGTCAGAGATAGTCTGGAATAACATATAGGCTACTTTTTATCCTGGAAAAAAGTATGATTCCCGTGGGATAGATTTGTTTTTGATTTTCTAGAGGTAAACCCGAGCAAAGCAAGGGTGAGCTGCTAGTCTCATATCGTGGTCCTCACATAAAATATTTTAAAACTCATTTTTAACATGAGCCACACAATATCCATTGTACACATGAGAAGTGGCATGTAGGACATTGATATGGATAGTTTTTGACAATTTTGTATATGTCTCACCTATATTCTTGTCGGCATAGATCTTACAGGGAATGAAATACGGGGTTGTTTGCAGTCCTGGTGTGATGCATCCTGCATCGCAACTAATGATTCGAATCCTATCTGACCTAAGCTGCTTACAACACAGTAAAGTATGCTTACAATTAAGAATCAATGCTACCTTCAGACAGCGGGCGCATATCCGTGAAAGATTAGTGACTATTATGCTTTCCAACTGGATCATGCACTAGCCCTTCCAAAGCTCCTGAAAGGAATTTCTGTAAACCCAATACAACCACCATTGCGCCAAACTTATAGTATGCTGGTACATTCTGCAAAAGAGAAAACTTATACTCTTTGCGTTTTTTTTTGCATTGATTTTCAAATTTCACGTCGGGACATATCAGCTTTGTGCGGTCTTGATTTCAGAAATTCGCTTTAATAATATTATATTTTAGCTTTGTCTATTTGACTCTATTGTGCACCATGCAGTTAGTATTAGTGGCGATCCTACATTCGGACGAACTAGAACTTTTAAGTGTCCAGAGAGATGTTAACTCTCTCTATTTTTTTCTACTGATTCTAGTTGGATCTTTTTTAATTAAAATATATATTTATGACATAAAAATCAAATAAATGATTAATATTTAATCTGTTAACATGGTGATCAAATTGAAACATTTTATAAATGATCGTACAAGGCAGGGTTAAAATTTCCGTTTACAATAATTCATTGTTAAAATGTGTTGATTTAATAGTTTATAGTAATGTCTACACGTTTGGCTCCGTGTGTAGTGATCCTACTTGCTGTGCCAGCGGTCGCGGGTTCGAGTCCCGCTGGGGGCATTCATTTGTGTGATGAGCACGAATGTGTGTACTCTAGTCATGGGTGTTTATTTATATTAATAATATGTATGTATTTAAAGTTATATATGTGTAGTGTATCAACTATCTGGTATCCATAACACAAGCCTCGCAGCTTACCATGGAACTAGATGGTGCTGTGTGTTAATGTCCCAACATATTTAAAAAAAAAGGTGATAAGGTTCAAGAAGCTGTATAAATAACAATCATGACGAGTTGTTGTACTACTTTATTTGCAGAAAAATAAGTTTTAATTATCACAGTCAACAGTCCAAATATTACAAATAAAAGAAATTTTATAGCCACCTAATAATTATTATAATTAACTATTGTTATTATATTATGCATATCAAGAGAAATTTTCAAATTAAAACTACAACAATCATTCAAACTCATTGTTAATATTCGGATTTAAAATATTTATTAAAGGTATGTACTTAAGATGTCTTTCATTACAAATGCATAAATATAACAAAGGTTTGTTAAGCCTTATATTAATTTGTCAATTTCATTTTATATATGTAGAAGTAATTTATTTGAAAAAGATTTGGTGATGTTAGGTGCGTACTCTAGAAAAATCATTAAAGTCATATAAAGCTTTCTCTTTGCAAAAAATAGCAAAGGAATATATAAACTAGAATAGATAAACGTTTTGTGAAGCAATTTTATATATGCAATATATATAGTTATAGATTAAGACCACGGTAATATTACATATATTATTACATTACCGTGTTAAGACTAGCGACTCACCCTCGCTTCGCTCACGTTCGTCCCTTCTTACGCGTTAACGTTTAATATTGATTTCTCAGAGATGAGATATTCTCTCGCTATAAACGTATTCTATATGTTGACCCGGATAACCAGGGCTATCATCATACCAAATTTCATCAAAATCCCTCCAGTGGCTTTTCCGTGATGCGGTAACTAGACAGACAGACAGAGAAAAATTCTAAGAACGATCGATTCGATCTCTGTATCGAAAATAATGTATATTTTAATAAGATTTTCCAAAAAATATTTAATGTACAGATTCGACTTAGTTACAATTTTATTATATGTATGGATTATACAATAAGAAGATAACGTATAGACTAGAACTATAAAAGTGAAGTCATAATCAGTATCATTATATATTCTTCTGTAAAGTTCAGTACAGGGCCCTAGACAATCCACAGTTGTACATAAATATATAATATCATTGTCTTAATGTGTTTTTTGCTCTTTGTATATTTGAATCTTTTAGTCTGAGGCAAGTAGTGCACTACGCAGTTTTTACTAGTCACCTGTGTTTTTACTCTTTAAGAGTTATGAGCTAATACTGGCTAGGTTCTACCTATAGTTACTTTTTATGTCATATTGCATCATATCTAACAAAAACTGAACAATTCACATTTATAGTACAGAGTGCTGTTGTAAGTAATATGGTAGCTGTGCAAATAATCGCATAAAAATTCAGCCTGCCGCGCTTTTGACGAAATATGTACAGCTTATTATGTACATTTTTCAAACCTAAGCACATAATATTAATAAAGTACATATAAACATAAAAAAGTTCAATTTATTATTGCTGCTGTCGTTGCGACCTTTCTTTTTTCGGTTAGAACCTGTAGAATCATTATCAGGATCATCGACTTCATTATAATTATAGTAATTGTTATCTACATTGTAGAATACGACGCGATCACCAATCGGTTGAATGGGCCTGAAATTGTGTCTGATCTTTCCAGTCGCCGAACGCAGTTCCCTAAATGCTTCTATCTGTAAAAATACATAAATATGACAGACATATAGATTTGCTTAAAAATAATAAAACATATTTGCCTGCTCTCCACTATCCATTGCCAACACAGTTTTACATGGTCACAAATCTCTTTAATTTTTGAGTGTATATATGCAGTTTTACTATAGATAACAGTCTCTTATTCTCAAAGAATACTTATTTATTTCGTCCGAATTCTAAACGACATAGTGAACTGGGCATACATTTTCGAATTAAGGGCTTAAAAGACGGTGACTTTTGTACCATATTTTTCTTTTATAATTTAAATATTTAAATTGTCAAATATTTACTTTACCTGATCGTGCGCCAGTCTTATTGGTTGTTCAAAATCCAGCCATATGACTACTTCAGAACACGGTGGAGTAGTCAACGACCCTTTATAAGTGAAGTATCGTCGCAGGTCTAAAGGCAGTATGTTGAGGAATGAAAACGGATGGCTCATGACAACACTGGTATGTGGCTCCGTCACGTTTGATAGAGCAGAGGTTATGTCGTCGTAGGCTGGGTGCTGATGCCGGTCCAACTGAATGTGAAATACTCGGTTAATAATACATATCAATAAATATTTAAAAAACATAAGCGTTAGGTTAACGTATGTTTAGAATGATGATTCTTTGTATAAATTATACATTTCATATGTAAAAATCGTAAAATACCTTGGTTAGCTTTATTTATTTATATATTGGATTCCGATATTTGTCACAAACATTTTACTTAGAGAATGTTGGTACAAACAGCTGGAACTTGAACAATAAGTACCGCGTATGCATCGCTACTAACAAAAACAACAGTTGTACTGCATACATGCAACTAAGGGATGTAAAAAATTTATTGGATGCACATAAGCTTACCTTTTTTGAATAGGTCATTTATAATGAGATATAATATTTTAGTTACTAAATGACTTTTTTATTTAGCCTAAGTCGTAAAACTTATTACCTACACTTTAACCTACCTCGTAGAAAAATGCTAGCACCGTTAGGCCATCAGAATACTTCATAGCAGATTTTGCTGATTTGTATTCTTCTTTGTAAAACACCATATGCAGCTCCATTGGAAAACTGTTAAAATGTACATGTAACATTTTATTTGATAGAATTTGCCCGCAGCTCTTCTAATGTGGTGGGTAGTTGGTACATTTATAAAAATAAGAAGGGAAAAATAAGAGTAGGCCTATATGTTAATGTTGTAGCCTGCATGTAAGATTTCTCTATTCCGAATTTCATTTAAATCTATAGGGCCATTACAACGTTAGGAACATAACGCAACGAACGAAACAAACTCTCGAACCTTTCGCTTTTCGACCCCCGGTTCTAGATTGTCAAATGTTATCATGATTGGTTAAAACGTTACTACGTTAAGAGGCAAGAAACTAACTTACACTTTTATAATATTAGTAAGGATGGAATTTTACCAACTTCTGTATTTATACTTCTCTAACTTCTACCTTTTATACTTTTGTATACTTATGTTTTGCTACAAACTTTTTGGGCTACTAACCTTCGATGGTTAATTTTATCTTCCGATCCGAAAGTATCATTATCTCCCCAATGAAAGTGCATCTGACTAAAAACGTAGGTGCCATCAAGAGGACCACCACTAACTCGAGGATGTGGTTCGTTCTCCACCTCTATTAACACTGAAATTAGATAAATTTGCAATTAATTAAAAATATCTAAATATACTACATTACCTTGGGCTGTAGACCCCTAAGGGTTTTTTTTATATTTTCGAATTATTGATATTTAGGTAGATATATGAGTAGGTACTACTCGACGAACGAATGTACTACTCAACGGATTCGGCCACGATAGATAATCTTATTATGAGTAGCCAAATAAGCAGTAGAAATTACAAGTGTGCGCTAACACTTCATTTTCTATTCTCGTCTATACATCTGGTGGGACAACAGTTCGATACGACCGGTGAGAAACTAGGCGTAAGACCATGGGCTTCATTTGCTCTCCGAGGCACGCGGGGTGTAACAACTTACAACGCCAACTGCCCAACTCGGGACTATTACGAAGAACATAAAAACCCAATAGGTTACACTGTAACTGTAAGTACATGATTTAGATATATACCTATCTATATATGTATAGTCTATATATAAGATTGTAACTAAGCCGATTCTTTACATTGAATATTATTTGGAAAATCTCATTGTAATAGCTATAATCGATACAGAGACCAAATTGACATTTATTTTTTATTTGTGTTGTCTTTCTGTGACCGCTTGATTGACATGATTTTAATGAAATTTCGTACATTGATACTTGGTTATTCGGGTCATCATATACCTATCAGACAATAAAATATATACTAAAGATACTAAATATTTTAGTAAAATCGCGCCAAAATTACACATTCTATTTGCTTATTATTAAGAACTTACAAAGTAAGCCTTTCTGGCTATAAATAATAATTATTATAAATACGTTTAAGAAAAAAAGGACATTATTTTTGGGAAAATCACCAATAGATGTCGCTACGAGTTGTATTGTGTTGCTGATAAGTGAAATAGGTAATTGAATAAAAAAATATATTTACTGTAAAGATATGACCTCTCTATAATTTCTTATTAAACTGTTTGAATTTTAAGGTTCCAAAATTTAGTAAGCTTAACCACGATATTTTTGACCTGCCATTGTACTAGAACGAAATATGCTTATACTTCGCGCATGTAATGAGTATAGAAAAAAAATTACAAGTATAGACATATTTTCGAATTCACTTTTAAGTTTCAAAAATAGTATTAATAACCTATTGTTTAATTGTTGATTTTGTGTTTTATGTATTTTATGTTTTTTTCCTTATTTTTTAATTTTTTATTATTCATGTTAACCAGTGTTTCATTTTGTAATTTTTTAGTTTAGTGTTTAGCTTTTTGTTTTTCTCATTTTCATTGTGGTCTGCTTCATATTTGTATTGTTTAATTTATGGAAACTTCATTGGTTTATGTGTTATCTAATATTATTAATTATTTATGTAATATCGTACTGTTTGTTTCCCCAAAATAAATAAATAAATACTTTACAAATTATTATAATATACAAAAGAAGAGATACCTATGTACAAGTCTTCTCCTTATGTGAATCAAGTTCATATCAATGTATGTATTCGTACAATAATTTAGTTAGCTATTTATCTTGCACTCAAAACTCTTTAACATAATATTACATATTATGAAGTCATACTGATACTTGATTCTATGAAAATATACTCATAAATAATTCATGTTTAATAGCTATTATTTGTAACTACGTAATCAAATTACGTTTGACAGGTTTCAATACATTATCTACATTTCTTGGTCAAAAGTGTGCTTTTTTAGTTTTTGAATTAAAGATCTACGCCTTAATTTAATTTATAAGTACGTTTATGAAAAAAGTACTTATATACTGCTCACCTGTATGACCATTATTTGATACATGCACATCATCTATAGGGTCATCGAAACCAATGAAAGTTATATCTGGTAATGCAACTTGCTTTACACGCAGTATATTTATATTTATGGGACTTTGATGTTTTCCTCGGCATTCTTGATACCTGTCACCCCAATAACTTGGACCTAAAAACGAATGTCAATAAATAAAAAAAATAGATTAGATAGTATCGATTACTTTCGCATAGCTTTTGGACATCGAATAACTAAAACAATAACGTTGATGAAATAAAAATTATATTTTACCTATTACTCCATCGTATCCAAAGTCTTCTCCGCAAGCGAGTTCTGTTGCTGTAATAAAAAATATATAAATTATTATTACAGAAACCACAGCACTTCCAAATTGCTACTTTTTGCAGAAGGTATAAGTTGAATAATCAATTTTAAGAACTGACTTGTGTAGTCTTGTTTTGATTTATTTATTTATTTTATGTTTTTATTTCATCACATAAATTATTGACTTTGTTATTTAGAAGGTTACAGATGTATAACAAGGCTTTTTTGAAACTTTGAATCTTTAATCCAAAGTTGATGCTTTCATAATATAATTAGAACAAAGATAAAACCCGTATAATACAAAGGAAAGTTCCAAATTATGTCCATTTTAAGAAGCTATTATAAATTCATAAAATACTAGCGAGTATCGACTCACTCTCGCTTCGCTCGTATTCTCCCTAGTGAAAAACAAAAGCAAATCTGTCCAACGGGAACCTAACATTTTTCGGGATAAAAAGTAACCTATATGCTATACCAGACTACAATCTATCTCTAGGCCAAATTTCATCCAAATCCGTTCAGCCGTTCTGGCGTGATTGAGTAACAAACATTCATCCAAACTTTCGCATTTATAATATTCAGAGAATTAATGGGATTTGTTCAATTCTGAGAATTTTCCTGATTTTTATGGTTAGTTTTAAGACAGCGTTGGACAGCTATTATTAACTTACCTTTATAAACTACTAGCAGAACCCGCGGCTTCACTCGCGCTAATACTACAAAACAATCTCTAAAACGGTAGTAGGTATAATACAAACTTTGATCCTCTAATTTACCCCTTTATAAGATGAATTTCGAAAAATGCTAAAATACGTATTTATTCAATTTTATTGAAGAACATTATTATAAAGTTTCAAAGTAATTCTGATCATAAATATTTTTTTAGATTTAGATAGATTTTCCACGATAAAAAGTAGCCTATGTCTCTCTCCAGCCCTCCAACTATCTCCACACAAAAAATCACGACAATCCGTCACTCCGTTTCGACGTGAAAGAAGGACAAACAAACAAACACACTTTTACATTTAGGTATAATATTAGTATGGATTGTTGTAGTAATTTACTCTCATATAAAAGATTACCTAGTTATAAGAACTTGATAGTGGAAAAGTGATGGTTTGATGACTGTAATTTGTCAAATTATGAGTTATTCAACGGAACCAAGCATGCTGGTAGTAATACCTAGGCTTTTCAAATAGGAAGTGCTCATATATTTTAAAATTAATTAGGTATTCCGAATTATATTATTTTATTTCGGAATATGTTACAGCGCCCAATCAATGCGGGGGCCCCGCTGACATTTATTCTTCTAATTCATAGAAACTTATGAAACAAATTTGTTAAATGTAGCTTACTATTAGTACCTACTTTATAGTTGTGTCTATCATATTTCATGCATGAATAGTTATGTTCATGAAAAGAAATAAATCATACTATCTATCATTATCATTATATTGTTTTGACTTTTGTGAAGCGAATGAGTCGTTAACAATTCAGGAAACTATGACTGTTGTCACTCCAGTTCCCTTTGTACTTAACGTAACGCCGGAAATGTAAATTATGATATGAATCCACAAGTATTTATTTATTGTACTTATAAATTTGTGTTTTATGTAGGTACTAGCGACTTACACTCGCTTCGCTCGGGTGCGACTCAAGTCATGTGTATACATACCTACAAATAAATAAATATGAAGTGTCTGTTTGTAATGCTAAAATAACATCTTTTAACTAAATACATACATATAAAAGTATATGTGGTACTTTTCAGAAAATAAAAAAAATATGTCTATTTGTTCCGGCTAAATTCCAAAACGGCTGGACCCATTTTGATGGGACTTTTAATAGCAGATAGCTGATGTTATAAGGAGTAACTTAGGCTACTTTTATTTTAGAAAAAGAATTAGGGTTCCGCGCAAAAAAAATTAAAACCTATGAAATTTTGAACAAAATTGGCGTACCTAAGGACGCACTCGAGCTAGCTTCATATAAATAAAAATAGTTATTTTGAGTATACCTTAGATAAAGAGACACATATATCGGATACTTTAAAGACTCTATAGGCCCTTTTAACCTCCTGCCTACCTTAAGGCCTATTATTTACTAGTTAATTGTTTTGATGTACGAGTAGATATATAATATCTTTTAATGTCTAGCCAGCGTTAGTCGCGTAAGCGTACAAAAACAGATTTTTTTGTTAAATTACCCTAAACAGTTATCCATTTTGTATAAAATATTTACTTTTATACATAAATCTTCATCGTTTATCGCTCTTTCTATTAATGAAAACCGTATTAAAATGAGTTTTGTGATTTAGAAGAAGTAAGCTGAGAAACATAGTGGCAGGCAGCGACTTTATTTCATAGAAATTTTTGTATATCTATTTATTTGTCCTAAATGTCGACCCGAGTAATAAGTTACCACCACACAAAATTTGATTAAAATTGGCTTAGTACGTTTTGAGTGAAATGTCCATTGAAATACAATCAAACAGGCAAAAATTTCAATAACTATTTTTTTAAGGTCTATGTTCTGTACACAATATGTAACTCAATGTACATAGTCATTGTTTTAAAAAAAAATACATACTTACTCTATGTAAACATGTACATACATACTCTATGTAAATGTGACCGTTTTAGGGTAGCTAATAAGGAGTCCTTATAATTTCGCACTGTCCGTCTATCCATATGCCAGTAATTATTATCTAAGACTATTGGTACTATATATGTACAAACGTTGCTGAAATTTAGTAGGCAGATGTCCCATATAACCCGCTAGAAAACTCTATGTTTTTTAAATGTTCTTTTTATTTAAAAAAAAAAGATAATATCAACAAACGTTGACATTGGTACATGTTTTGACTGACAATGAAGATATACGTGTAACAGATAACAGAAAAAAAAATACTTGCATTCCATAAAACGCACTTAAATCTCACAAATGTCTTGAGAATTGCAAAACTGCCTTGGTTAACTCCTCAAGGCTATATAATTTTTTTACGGTACCTATGTTTTTCTTTGAACCCGAAAGGTATAATGTACGATAATCAAAATGAGGAAAAAGCTGCTGTTAAAGATAATATGATTAAATATTTTATTCTACTTAAAACTTATACTAAATAACTAAGATCTATAAAATACCTGGTGTTTTTTTCCATGTAGCCCACAACTATATGACCTCTGCTTGTCAAACTTAAAGCTTTTTTTTATTTGCGTGTATAATTAATGTATACATGTAAGGCAGTGGTAGCCCAGTGGTAACGCGCACGCTTGGGAAACCGAGTGAAGCGAGTTCAAATCCCGGGTCTTGCACCTCTGATATTTTCATGTGCGAATCATTTCCAACATTATTACCACTTGTCTTAACGGTGAAGGAAAACATAGTGAGGAAACCTGAATGTCTGAGAAAACCTAGTAAGTTTTCAAAAGTCATGTGAAGTCCGCCAACCCGCACTTGGCCAGCGTGGTGGACTATGGCCTGATCCCCCTCGTACTGAAGGGAGGCCCGTGCCCAGCAGTGGGACGTTAAAAAGGGCTGAATACATATATGTATTTTAAATGAATTTATCTATTTTTTTCTAACATACAATTCCTACCCTAAACGGTAAGCCATTCATCTGAATACCACAAAACTTTATTGAAAAGTACAAACATATACCTAACTTAAGTAGATCAATGCTGCCTTACTAAAAATATTTAATCAGGTATATAGAGCTAAATTCAATTTATGGTATTAAAAAATATTAGAGCCGTTCACGGTTACTCTATTTAAGGTTCACTGAATTTAAACAAGCGATTCGATGTTAAGAAATTGTGCCATAACACCTTACTGAAGCGTATCAAGTTCATAGATAAAAGTAATTCATTCCGACCTTCTCTCGTTGGAGGGCGTCGTAACAATTTGGTACTTATATTTATAATTAGGAACAGTTGAATGCAAATATTAATATTTAACTAGAATTAAATATATGATTCTAATGATTTAAATGGCTTTTATAATTAGTTGATTAATTATAGGTTGTTACTGTATTATAAACAGGTTATTATATTATTAACAGGTTTTCTATAATTTTTTTTGCCAGTGATTCTTCATCTGTTTTTAAGAGCAGCATATTTCAACGGATTTTTTACAATGTGATGTTTTTTACATCATTAAGCTTCATTACGATTACCCACTGTTATACAACCAACCAGTCAGTCTACTTAGTTACATCTTATATTCTCCTTAATGTCTATATAGAGATAATCTCTGTACTATACTTATAAAATATGTAACAATAAATATTTATTAATCCCTCCACGACCGCGGACACGCCGGCGCGGCGTTACAGTTAACAATAGATTTCTTAGAAATTCTATTATTTTTTTAGAAATTTACCTGGAGGTGTTAAGGTTTTCTTCTACCTCTTACGTACATAACTTGATAGTTAAATTCGCAAACACAGTTCAACTGTTATATCATATACGAGTTTGCGTATGTCGCGTCGTTTAAGTTTCGTCAATTGACATTAGACGATAAAATATGTACGAGTATGTGGTCTGTGAATGCTTCCGTAAAGCCTTAGTAATCTTTAAATACACGCGGGATGGGCTCATTCTCTCTCTTTGCCCGTAATTAAAAGGCTTTCAGAATACATTTATAACATATATATATATATATATATATATATATATATATATATATATATATATATATATATATATATATATACTCACTTATAAAAATTGTTTGATTGACTCATTTTAAATGTGAATTATATGATGAATTACATTTTAATAACTACCACAATAAAGATAAAATGCCGAAAATTATAATAGCGCGTAGTTACCTACTTATTAGAGAAAATTAAAATAGAATATATAACTATTTTATTAACTTATATCTTTTATCTATCAAATATTAGGATGAGTTGCAATTTCCCCACGTGATTTATTTATTTCATTCTATACATATAATATACATTAGGTAGGTACATAACAGCACCTCTTCTTTTATGGACGCGCGTAGATAGA